CTCTTATCAGAGCTAGGGCTTGCCCAAGGTCATCCAGCCAGGTGCAAGTGGAGGAGTGGGGAATCAAACCCGGTTCTCCCGGATTAGAGTCCGCACACTTCACCACGACACCAAACTGGCTCTCACACCATAGCTTGCATAGGTGTTGGGGCAGCCCACAAACTAAGCATGGGTGGCCACTTAGCTTGGGTAGCAGTGGCCCACTTTAACTGAGATCATGCGAGGCACAGACAATGTGGCATGGAACTGGAATCCCAGAATTACAGCTCATCTCCAGACTACAGAGATCCATTCCCCTGGAGAAAAGGGATGCTTTGGACTGTGGACTCTATTTCTTGTTGTTCAGTCACACAGTCGAGTCCGACTCTTCGCGACCCCATGGACCAGATCCCGCCAGGCCCTCCTGTCTTCCGCCGTCCTCTGAAGTTGGCTCAATGGTATTATACAAAGCTGAGGTCCCTCCCTGTCCCAAACCTTGCCCTCCCCAGGTTCCACCCTCCCAAATCTCCAGGAATTTCCTGTCCCGGAGCTGGCATCCGTTGGTACATACAAATTTTCTAATTCTACTGCCACTCCCCACCCCCATGGATCTCATAAGTTAAGAATAACATGAACTCCCTGGGCTCTCTGGACTTTTGCTTGTATCGGGATATTTGGTTAGTATAGCGGAGTTTGCCCCATCGTAGAAGGATGATACTGAGTGCAGTAAATAAATCTCCCAAGAAGTATATTGTAAAGAAAGGTAAACTTACATTTATTCAAGTAGACCCAGTTCACATTCGGGTTGCAGTTGAAAGGAGAGAAAATAAGCCTAATCTAAGGAGTCAGGAGCTGCGGTGGCTCAAGTGGTTAAGACGCTGAACTGCAGGCAGTGAAAGGTCAGTAGTTCGGCAGTTCAAGACCCAAGTGTGCCGCATGACGGAGTGAGCTCCCGTCTCCAGTTCCAGCTCCTGCCAACCTAGCAGTTCGAAAGCAAGACATTGCAAGTAGATAAATAGGTACCACTTCGGTGGGAAGGGAACAGCGTTCTGTGCGCCTTGGTGTTTAGTCATGCCGGCCACATGACCGCGGAAACGTCTTCGGACAGCGCTGGCTCTTAGACTTTGAAATGGAGATGAGCACCGCAACCCTAGAGTCGGATTCGACTGGCTTTCGAGCAAGGGAACCTTTACCTTTACCTTTAAAGAGTGCTTTCCCTGTTACAAATGGCCATTTTGTCCGGCATGACTTGTGTGGGAGTAGGAGGGCGCTGTATCTACAGGAGAGACCTGCAGAGATGTGTGTCTCAATGGAAGGCCATGTGCAGCGAGGGAGAGGACAAAGGGAGAAAGAGAGGAGGGTCCGAGGGCAGTTCTCAGATTAAGACAAAGGGAAGCATCCCATTCAAGGAGATAACACCTATACACCCTTAGAGTGATGCAGCGCCCCCCCCCCCCATCCATGTCCAGGCATGCCGACTTGCTCACTCCAACATTTCAGAGGAGGGGGAAGCAATGTTCTAAGTAGCTTTGTGGGCCCCCACTGGAGAGAAAAGTGAGACATCGATACATAATGCTAGATATCCCTCTCCATTTAAAAGTCCGAGACTCTGAATGAAATTCGCCTCTTTCTAAGCTGTGGTTCAGGGCGCAGCTTCAAAACTCCATTGGATGCTATTTAGGGATCTGCATAAAAGTTGTCAAAACAGCTTCTGCTTGTCTCAAAACTCTTCTGATGTTTTTGCTCCTGGCAAAACATTCTAGCGACTGAGGGACAGGCGGACTCCCGCCCCCCCCAAATCCATCTGACAATTCTAATCAAAACTCTTTTTTGTTTCTCAAAGGACGGTTCCTGCCTCAACAGGAGCCACAAAGTTGGTTTCGAACGTCGACGGACCGGAGTTGGTGACAACGCGATGCCTGCGTTTGGCAAAAATCTTAGTAACGTGGTAAAAAACCAAAACCACAACCGAAGTTCTGGGTGCTTCTTTGTCGGGAGCAAGAAGAGGAACCAGGGTGAAGGCCACGCAAGCGGTCTGTGGGACAGCGTGTGGGTGCCTCAGCAGCCGGAAATGCGGGAGTAACGTCTGTGTTCCTGGCATTTCTGCTCATTTTGTTAATTAAATCAGATCTTTTTAAACACAAAAGGAAAAGGAGAGAAGAGACCACCCTGAAATGGGGCACACCAGACTCTCTGCTTGATCTGATAGGCGGAGAAGGTTTGTGTCCACGGTTGTAATCAAATGAACGACAGATTTTCTCTTTGTCGGGCTTCATAACTTGTTGTTGTTCAGTCGCACAGTCGAGTCCGACTCTTCACGACCCCATGGATCAGATCACGCCAGGCCTTCCTGTCTTCCACTGTCCTCTGAAGTTGGCTCAAGTTCATGTTCGTTGCATCGATGACACTGTCTAACCATCTCATCCTTTGCCGTCCCCATCTTCTTTGACCTTCAGTCTTTCCCAGCATCAGGGTCTTCTCCAGTGAGTGCTCCCTTCTCATTTGGTGGCCAAAGTATTTGAGCTTCAGTTTCATTATCTGGCCTTCCAGGGAACAGTCAGGGTTGCTTTCTTTTAGGATTGACTGATTTGATCTCCTTGCAGTCCAAGGGACTCAGTCAAGAGTCTTCTCCAGCACCATAGTTCAAGAGAATCTATTCTTCGGCGCTTGGCCTTCCTTATAATCCAACTCTCGCAGCCATACATGACTACTGGGAATACCATTGCTTTGACCATGCGGACTTCATCATACTTACCTTTTAAAGCATCTAACCTTTTCAGGTTGTGAATGAGCTGTTTGCTGAGCTACTGCATCAAAAATGTCATGATTCAAAGTGTCGGGATTGGTCAGCAACAAACATTTAAAACTTTTTTTGTAACAGACAGATTTCCTTTTTAATGTTTTGTCACAGTGGTTTTATACCTTAAATGAAAATCAGGAGAAATGCAGGCAAAGACGGGTTGTGTATCACAGAACCGTATTTCACCTTTCCCTTCCTTCAAGGAGCTGCAGCAGGGTAGGGAATAACCTACTTGCACCCCCAGTTTCTGGTCATGAGGAACTGAGGAGAGGGAGGGGAAAAAGTGGGAATGATCTGGAAGTTCCCCCTAGTCTCTGTGGTAAAGACATAAGAACATAAGAGACGCCAATGTTGGATCAGGCCAAAGGCCCATCCAGTCCAACACTCTGTGTCACACAGTGGCCAGAAATACCAGGTGCCATCAGGAGGTCCACCAGTGGGGCCAGGACATTAGAAGCCCTCCCACCAAGAAGACAGAGCATCACTTGCCCCAGAGCCCCTATCTATACCTTGTGGCTAAGGGCCACTGATGGACCTCTGCTCCATATGCTTATCTAATTCCCTTTTGAAGCCGTCCATGCTTGTAGCACCCACCACTTCCTGTGGCAGTGAATTCCATGTGTTAATCACTCTTTGGGTGAAGAAGTACTTCCTCTTATCCGTTCTAACCCGACCGCTCAGCAATTTCATTCAGTGCCCACGAGTTCTTGTATTGTGAGAAAGGGAGAAAAGTTCCTCTTTCTCTACCTGCTCTTTCCCATGCATAATCTTATAAACCTCAACCATGTCATAGAGATTGGGCAAAGGAGCCTTGAGCATTCCCCAGAAGTGACATCGCATACTCCCGAAACTCCGCCCTCCGCAAACACCCCCCCCCCCAAATCTCCCTGGCATTTGCAAAGGCTGTGCTGGGAAGTCTAAGCTCTGGACGGTGTGGGGGTTATTTCATTTTAGGTTTCTGGAGGTGATAAGGCTGAGAGAGGGTGACTTGCACTAGACCAGCAACTGAGCTTCAGTGTCGGCAGGGAAGACAGGGTTTGATACCGGGGTTCCCCAACCAGTGCAAACCCAGCACTTTATCCCTCGTGTGATATCACGCTGGGAAGAACATTCCAGAGTCACAATCGAGCATCCTTAATGGGCAGCGAGTGGTGGGGGCACATGATGTTTGTGTCCTTTGGAGAGCCAACTATCTTGATGTGCCTGGAGATGATGTAGTTTGTAGAAGGAGGAGCTCAACAGAGAAACCGATCTCTGTAGTTTGCAATTCCGGGAGAATGCGAAGCCCCGCCTTCTCAGTTGTCCTGACTGACCTAGATGCTGGAACACCAGAGAGGTTGCTCCTCTAAGCTGAGTGAGTGTGAGCCAGCTCAGTTTTTTAGCCTCTGGTTCACACATTTTTGTCTTAGCTCAGGAAGGAGGGCTCCGGAGCAAACTGGTTTATGCAATAGCCGAAGCACTCTCTCACAACTTTATTGCCAGCAGCTCAGAAAGTAGAATTTTTACTCACAAGATTCCATAACATTGAGGGAACATGTCCCTATGTCATGCTGGAACACACAAGGCCTATAACGCAGCCTTATGAAGAAGATCTGAAGATCTCCCTACAGGGGGACAGCTGAAGGACTGATAGTTAGCATAGCTAGATGAGGGACTGCCCACAATTTCAAATTAAATCCTTGCTGTCTCCTGATTGGCTCTTCTGGAAACTTCCTGCTCCTGTAGAGCTTCCTTCCTGTTGTTGTTCCTCCTTCAGTGGTTAGGCTAGATAGTTAAGGTTCTCTCTCTTTTCTATGTTCTATAACAGTTTGTTCTTCTTTAACAAACCTAGGTCCCGTCCACACGTGCCGGAAAACGCAGGGGGGGGGAGCTGTGGCTATTTGCGCCATTGCATTCTGATCCGCCATTATGCGATCAGACGCGACGGCGGCACACCGGGGTTTTGTCCTTTGGTGCGCGCTGCAAAGAGGACAGCCGGAGGGAATAGGCGCGCACTGGTGCGATCAAACCAAACGAGTCCGTCTGCAGCCCGTGGCAAACCATTTGCTAGTAGATCTTTGCAGGAACTTTTTAACTGCACATCTTCGGCGGCACACCACGGGTTGGTCACAGGTGCGCTACGCTTGCCAGATGTTGCGGTGTGATCGCGCCCTGAAAATCCGCCCAGCATTCGTTCCTTTCACGTGGCAAATTCTCTGTGTGACTGAGGCCCTACTTAATTTTTTTCTCTAAACAGTCAGTGCTCCAATTCCTTTGCGTATTTAAACTCTGCCAACATACCAGAACACTCCAGGATTAAAGGCGCCTGTTATTCCTTGGGATGCTTCCTGTGCCAGCTTCTATCAGGATGAGTATTTTGGGTCAATCAAGTGCCGGCCTCTTCCGTATCATTCTTAGGGTTGAGAACCGGCAGGTAGGGCCTGGATATCTCCCAGAATTGCAACCGATCATCTCCAGGTTATGAAGTTCCCGGCAGTGTCATTCCCAGACCCCACTCTCGCCAGGCTCCACTCCCAAAATCTCCCGGAATTTCCCAACCCAGAGCTGGAAGCACTAAAATTCTCTTTGACCTGTTCCATTACTTGGACACACGGTTTTTCTGTCTGCCGTTTCATGGGATTCCCCCCCCCCCCCCGCAAAGGGAAGTAGCATTTAGGAGGTGCATTTGTAAATAACGTCCGTGCAACTTCTCAAGCAGTACAGAAGGTTGATTTCCGTCATCTATAGCCTGCCTTTCTCTCCATTGAGGAGCCAAAACGTCAGCTGACATCATTCTCCTCTCTCTGCCATTTTACCCTCACAACCACCCCGTGAGGTAGACTTTAGGCCAGGAGTGTGCGACTGGCTCAAGGTCCCCCAGCGAGCTTCCATGGCTGCGTGGGGATTCGAACCTGAGTCCCCCCCCAGATCCTTGCCTGAGACTCTAACCACCACAAATGTTAGCTGTCACAGTCGAGATTGTTAGGTAGTCATACACAGTTGCCTGTGAAACAGCGGTATTCTAACACACACACACACACACGAACGTCTCTTTTGACCTCTGTGTTGGAGTGACACTTTGGTTAGCCACTTGTCCTTGTCAAACATGAAAACGGCTTCCACTGTTTCACTGGCAGGTCTCGGCCTTCCTCCCACCGTTATAGTACTTGTGTATGTTTTGAAATAAACGAATATATCTTGCACCCCTGTTGTGTCCATGTGGTTTCGTTCACTGACAAATTAAAAATATTAATTAAAAATATATTTTGTAGGACATGCTTCCCCCCCCCCCCAGATCCAACAGATAATCTGCCTTACTGTTGGTGGAGCTTTACCTGAGTATCCCTGGCTAGCCCGATCTCGTCAGATCTTGGAAGCTAAGCAAAGTCAGTCCTCGCCAGGCCCGTAGCTACAGGGGGGGGGGATCTCGGGGCTAGGCCCCCTGACTTACTGGCAAGGGCCCCCTGACTTCCCATCCAGCACAAGGCACCCGAGCGGCAGCAGGTGAGGGGAAGGAGCCAGGTATTCCTTTAATTCGATTAGCCAGTGGCCCCTAATGATGAGGCCTGGAATGATAGCAATAGACTGAGCAAAACCCCCAAATTTGCAGCTGCCTGATAGAACCTGAGAGAGATGCTCTCCTAGATAGGTTATTAAATTTGCTGTGAAGGTTCCGATGGGACCCTAGAAAATATGCTGCTGTCTTCAGAGACTTGTGCTCGCAAAGAGAAATTATTGCACCTTATGTCCTTTACATAGATCACGGTCCTTCAAAAAGATTGCATTTGAAACAGGTAAATTACTAGAGTCCCCTGGGACCAGCGATTGTGAAACCGACAAGGTGCTGTCTGGATATTTGTACAGAATGTAAAACCGCACTTTGATGCATTGTCCGGGTGAAACCTATTTTTGATAACACTTGACACCGATATTTATATAAGTATAGAAAAATTTTAAAAAAGGAAAAGCACAAAATGGATCTACCTTAAACATACATCTCGTATGCACAGTGGTATGTACTTTTGCAAAGAGGCGGACTCGACTGTGCGACGGAACAACAATAATAACATATACTTTTGCATATCTTCCTAACACTGTGACCCTCAGTTTTTGTATTAACCTCCAGGTGGTGGCTGGATATCTCCAAGGATTACAGCTGATCTTCAGGCAACAGGGATCAATCCACCTGGACAAAATGGCCGCTTTGGAAGGTGGACTCTGTGGCATTATGCCCTGTTGAAGTCCCTCCCCTCCCCAAACCCCGGCCTCTTCAGGCTCCACCCCCCAAAATCTCCAGAGATTTA